GAAAACATATGGTTAACCAAACGCTGGTAGGTCACCCCATCGTTTTTTAGACCGAAAGGCATGACTTTGTAGTAGTACAATCCTCGATTTGTGATAAATGAGGTATGCTGACTGAGGAAGCTCGTTAGATCAGTAGCAAGCTGAGGGCTGAGATTACTTCCATTCTTAACACATGAGTCGGATCATTCTGGTCGATTGATACCTCAGATAACGCCTCAACAAGCCCACTATGGGAATACTCTTCTTAAACACGAAGATCTATGTTGTCTTTCACTCGACCTGGCTTTGGTTTGATCCTGTTGATTGCCATAGCCTGCTCAAGAACACCCACTGGCTTTCCTTTCCTTTTGCATGCCATCTACACTGCTCTTACATAGCAGTCGCGAGATTCATGCTGAGACCCCTTAACTTTCCCACAACTTATCAAAATAGGAAATTTCATCTTCAGATGATAGATGAAGGTGGCAACTTTGAAGTTCCGGAGTAGAGGTCGTCCCAATATGCCATTAAAAGCGGATGGATAGTCTACCACTAAAAATTCAATCATCTTAGTCACTTCGTGGTTCTCACCAAAGTGATAGGAAGTGCAATCGTTCCCTTGGGAATCAGATGATCCTCAATAAAGTCATAGAAAGGGATAAAGGCAGACTTCAAATCTGTCTCTTTCAATTGCATGTCCTCGAATGCTCGCTGAAATAGGATGTTCATGGCGCTCCCATTATCCACCAACATTCTGTGGAACCGACTTATTTTAGCCATGATGACGAGTGCATCCTCATGAGGGTGATGCAATCGTACCGCGAATTTCTCTGAGAAGATAATCTCTTTTTGTTTGTGCACCTTAACAGGTCGCAGCGCCATGTTTAATACACTCATAGGATCATGACAAGCTTCTCGAGCATACTTTTCCAAAGCACCTTGAGAATTCCTCAAGAGGTGTGGTCCTTTTAATATAATCCCAACAAAATGGAGACCCTTACGATCACGACGCTTCTTCCCATCGGCCTCTTGGTCCAACTCTCACTCCTTCTCCTGAGTAGGAATTGGACCATCAACATACTTCTTGAAGTACCTTTTTTTAATGAGGTCTTCAATAGCCTGCTTAAAAGCTGGGCATTCATTGGTATGGTGTTCATTATCCCGATGATAACGACAATACTTCTTGTTGTTTCTTATAGAAGGGATTTTTCATAGGCTCTAGCTCTCCGAGCAGATTAACTTCTTCTAATTTATCCAAAATAGCTAATACCGATGCATTCAATGAAGTGAACAAATTCTTGCCGTGATCACGACGAGGGACTTGGACATAAGATTCTTGGGCTCAAACCGTTGTTTTCTTTCCTTTCTTTGATCGTCATTAGCCCATTTGCGATCATGTCTTCTACTATTCTCATCCCGGTTTTTCTCCCTCCGATTGGGAGTGTTGGTCAAAGAATCTGGGTAGTGATGGTTCAAAGCAGCCACTGAGTTTTCAATCCTGAGATATTTCTCGGTGAGGTTGTAGGAGCGAGTGAGGGAAATATCGTCCTTAGATTGCAGTTTCTTCCACAAGTCGGTTTGCGGGAGAATTCCTACAATAATAAGAGTTCGAACTGAATCTTCGGGTGTATTAGCCACCTTATTCAGCTCCTTGTGGAACCTGTCAATATAGGACTGAAGAGATTCATTCCTCTCCTGCCGTATGTTGCTAAGATAGCTCAACAACATTGAGAACTTCTAATTAGCCTAAAAGTGTCTAAAAAATAATGAACTCATCTGCTGCCACGAGTTGATAAGATCCTGGTGGAAGCGATCTAAACCAATGCTTAGCATGGGTAATCAAAATCACTACTAAGCAGTGACATTTTGCCAAGTTGGAAACTTGGTGAAGCTCCATGAGGTCGTAAAACTCATAGAGATGATCCTATGGATGAGAATTCCCATCGAATGCTGGCATATCGGGCATTCTAAACCTTGACGAGAGATGAGTAGTAAAAACTATTAGAGAAAAAGGAGACGCCTCAGCGACTTGCCCTCACTCATTTTGCTGAGCTCTAAGCTGATCCAGAGCTCGTTGTAACTCCTCAATTTGAGGAAGCGGAGCCACTTAGGGATCACTCTCTACAATGTAGGTTCTCTCCCTGTAATTGCGATTAAGGAAAGATTGCAGATCAGACTCTTCCACGCCTCAGCCAGAGCCTTTGGCATACCTTGGCACATGTTGGTTGGAGCCATGTGAAGACACTGAATGGCTTTGGGAGTTATCCTGACCTCTACAGTAGTCAAAATTGACCCGCGGATGGTAGGTATTTCCCTCGCGGTGATGGTTAAAACCATTATTCTGACGATAATGGGAATCTCTATGCCGTGCACTATTGTGGGGGTGCCTATGCGATGTGGCGTGAGATGGCTCATGATGTGACATATCGCCAAGTCATAGAGCTACACGTATTCTACTTGCTTCACGACTGGTATTCATTGGCCCTTTTAAGCCTTTTGGCCCATTGTCAGCCACTTGTTTTCCCTTATTTTTACGCACTGTAGTGTGTGTGGTATAAGCTTTTGCTTGTTTCCACGCTTTAGCGCGACCTACAGGCCTTTTTGGAGGTGGTATTGCCTTGTCAGAATTGGGCGGTACGACTTGATCCAAACAATCTAACCTTTGATTAACTGTTTGGAAAGTATTGTTGAACCTCTCCAAGTAATTCATCACAATTGGATCGAGCTGAGACATCGAGGGGATGTCTGCCGTGATACCTTGGGGAATTGGAGGTACTTCAGGAGAAGTAACATCCTATACCCGGGGGATCTCCTTGTTGTTGGTGCAAGTTCGCTCGGTTTCAAGACCACGAACTATTTGTTCGCAAGTAAAACTAATTGATTAGAAATTCTGAATGAAGAGCGAATATAAAGTCATGCCCTCCTTCTAGTACCAAACTGTTGATGCGTGATTTTGACACCAACGACCTGCACGTGTAAAGTGTTAAGCTGTTCTTATAAAATGACACGTGATATGATTGATTCAAGAGCTAATCAATATAATTGAATGCAAAGACTGAATAATAAATAAGAAATGATTTTTAAAGTGGTTTGGATGCTTAAAGCGATTCCTATGTCTACTGTTTCTTTTATATATGAGAGATTACAATAAGTCGCGTACAGCGAACAACGAGCAGAGGTACAATAACTGAGTATTCAGAGAGAATATCAAGTCAGTCTCTTTCTCGTAGGTTATCTTTGCTCTGAAAATAAGATTATAATCAAAATTAGAATGAAGGTTCAGGATTAGAATCCCTAAAACGAGAGGGGAAGTCCTCTATTTATAGTAGAAGAATTCAAGATAATTATTACAAATCTGTAAGTTGGTAGGTGCCATGCAAGTCCTTCCTTATCTCCCATTGGCTAATAACTTAGGAAATATTCTCAAATTATTTGGGGTTTAGACAAGTGTGCAGTCCTTAATCAATCATAGACAAAACCTGAATCTGCTAAGTTGATGATAGTTGTATTCTTTCTGTCTTGGATTGATGTGACAACACTTAGACAATGCAAAACCTTCTCGAACTCTGATTGGTGCTTGCTGATATAAGCTTATGTCAGGTTTTTTAGGCATAACAGGATTCAATGTCATACATTGATGATTCCCCTTAATTGTGACTCCCAGCTACTTTGTTTGTTAGGCATATGCATTTTATTTATCGATGTAAAAGATAGTCAAAACTTATATGTTATTAATTTTAAGAAAATATAGTAAAATAAATTAAATATGGGCCTTTTATGTTTTTATGTAAACATAGAAATCAGAGTAACAGTAGTAAAGATTAAAAACAGAGGGACAACAAGCCTAACAACACCTTCCTCACCCTCTCATCCACCTTCAACCCACACCCACCTCTTCATTATCACCCATTTTTCTTTATTTTTTATTTTTCTTTATCTCACTTTTTCTCTTCTTTATATCTTCTTCTGTGATCTCAAGATTGAATTTTATGGGAGGATCAATAGAATGACTTATCTACTACCGCCATTTAATTCCTTCACCACATCCTTCTCTTGGTGCGTTTTTTTCATCATATTTCTCTCTTTATCGCTTGCTCTTTTAGGACAATACATGAACAAAAAGTAAAGGAAGGAAATAAATTAGGAATTGATGATACTGACTTGTATTGGATGGTTATACAAAAGCTCTGGTGAATGTGTACCGTGCAAGCAAAACTTCTTCTGTTTTTATTATTGTTTTTGTTGTTGATCGTTTAAAGGTACCGGTTAGAACAATTTCTGGGTTCAATTTTGTTTATCTTGTTTTGTGAATGGTTTGTGTTTGTTATTGAGGTAATTTTTCTTCTGGGTTTTTTAATTTTTCTTTAAAATGTATTTATTTATTGATGGATTGAAGGGTTCTCTTAGTTTTCATCAGCAGTTGATTGTTCATTCTCACTTTACATATATATATATATATGTTGTGATGATTTATGTTGTTTGAAGGTGTGATTTTGTATTACAGTTGTGTTGAGCTATATTTCGATCAATTTGAAGTGCTATGCGAAAGTTGTTAACATGTTGAGGCAACTAATTTTTGGTTTGCAATTTCTTGTGTTCAGGTGTATGTATTGATTTTCTGGGCAACTATGAAGTGTATGAGCTTCATTGCTTGCTGGTATGGAGGTCAGAAGATTTGTGCTACTCACATTAGTTGGATAGATAGGAGGTGCTTGGCTTTCAGTATACAGTCTTATAAGGAAGTTGAAGTTGAAATGTGGACACCTTTGGTAGATACATAGTACTAGCTTTAAGTGTTATTTAGGAGATGCATTTGTAGGGATTACCTCTAGTTTAATTGTTGCAATATTTATGGCATAATTTGGATCTTTTCATTTTAATAGACAGAAGAATATAGGTAATAAATTATCAAGACTCAGCTGAAAAACAGTGAATTGAATGGCAGTAGAGAGCTAAATATACACTAGAGAAGGGGGGGAAAAGAAGAGGAAGAAAAGGAAAAATAACTTAAAATTTTACTGATGGGTTTGCCGCAAGTGTCCTCTAGTGATAGTGATGAGGAAGTTGCAGCAACATCATTGGGCTCATTTTTGCAAAGCCCACCACGATTTGCTGGTGCAAGCACCTGTGATTTGGATGGAATTCATGAAGGAAGTACAAGCCAAACAGTTACGGATATCCCGTGCTCCTCTTTTGGAGATTTCCCGAGGCAAGCATCCTTGGAATTTTCCAAGTTTTCTGATGGATCATTTGGATTTGGAGGGTCAAATGATGCTCTGCCCAGCGTTCAGGGGTTCAAGATCGGTTCTGCAGATAAAGGTGGTTTGTTTACTCTTAAAAGTGGACGGAGTATCCAAGACCCTGTGTCTAGGATTGTGGGTTTTGAATCACGTGGAACAAGTTCTCTAGGTAAGGAATTTAATGGAGCTTCTTCTGATGATGTTCATTCTTCTTCTGTTGATCGCTTCACAGTTAGTGGAACTGAGTCCAGTGGGTCATTAGTCAGAAAGCGGTTGTTGTCACCTTTAAAGAGTATGCTTTCACCGGACCAATTTAGTGGAGATCTTCTGGACATTGGCTTCAGCGATTCTCAAATGTCTTTCTCTGCTGGGGCTGACAGTTCTAGCATTTCAGTATCGCAAGACCATAAGAAAGTAAATGTTGGAATCAAAATCCCCTGCACTGCACCATCTTGGTCCTTATCCAGTTGCTTGGATATGCCATCTGATAACAGAAGAAGAACATCCATTTTTTTTACAGATGGCCCTTTGCTGGAAAACAATGAGCCAAGCAGTCATAATAATTGTTCGAATATACCTGGACTTGATCATTTCAATGAATCAAGTAAGGTAAGACCTCGTAGTGGGGTGATATCTATATCCCCCAAAAAGCCGATCTCAACTTCTGTTTCGTTGTCACCTCTCGGTCCAAAGTTGTCTGAAAGAATAGAAACTGCAGGAAAATACAGGAAGGTTAAGAAAGAGATAGAGGATTGTTGTTCACCTTTAAAGAATTTAGAGGAGTCTATTGACAAATGTGACTCAGGCATTATCTTTGGCCCCATAGAAGGCGAGTTTAGGTCTGGAACCCAATCATTTGAAGGTGTTCACAAAGAGTTTCATCCATCTTCTTTGGAAAGCACAGCTGGCATGAGTTGGCCTTTGAGTCAAGAGTCACCCCCCACAGCCCACTGCTTTAGGTTCATTAGAAGTTTGAGCGGACTCTCGGTAAGAAGGTCCCTGGTTGGTTCATTTGAGGAATCCCTTTTGTCTGGACGTTTAATTTCTGGAAAATCCAGCCAGGTTGGTAGTTTTGTTCTGTTACATAGGCAATCATGTGTTTGATTATTACTGAGCTATTGGGTATTGTTCATTGCAAATATCTGATGTACTTCTTCTGCTTGTTGTTGGCATCAATGTGTGCAGAGAATCGATGGTTTCCTTGCTGTACTTAGCATTACTGGGGGCAATTTCTCGCCACAATCACAGAAGCTTCCGTTTTCAGTGACCAGCGTGGATGGAGACTGCTATTTACTCTATTATGCATCAATAGATCTTGCAGGAAATTCATCAAATAAGTTCAGGGCCCACAAACTGCAAAAAGGTCTTGGACATGATGATTCACAAACTGTCAAAAGCTGTTTTCGAATTCCTATGAAAGGGAGAATACAACTGGTACTTTCATATACTCTGGAAAGCAATTGCTGGTTCTTGATGCCTAAAACAGAATGCATTGATCTTAGGACAAGATAGTATTTCTTTCACCTCCAAAATTAACTGAAACAGTATTTTCATCAGAAGCAATTACACTTTGATTTTACTTAATGTTTTACGTGACTTACCATTAAGGCTTCAGAATGACGGAGGGAATTTTTGTTTCACCTTTGTTCATGTTTATTACGTGATAGCTTGATGAGCCGGAATGCCCTGCTGCACTTAATTGTATCCTTCGGAAATTTGGCTATTTTAGTTGCCCATAACTTGAATTTGTGCTTGTATTGCTCTAGTGAACTAATATTTTACTAGAGAAAAGGATCTTTTAGTTGATGCCACACTGCATCATCTAATAGGGTTACTTAAAGTTCTGTTTTATGATCTCTTAGGCCTGTTCTCTTAGTTTTCATAATTAGATGGGTACATGCGACAGAGGTTTTGGAATATGTTTAATGGTAGATTTCAAGTGGTCTCCTGTTATGAACATTATGTAGGGAATGGCTTTCATTTACCCTTTGAATTGTTTGCTTTCTGCAGGTTCTCAGCAACCCGGAAAAGACACCTGTTCACACTTACCTTTGCAACTATGATTTGAGTGACATGCCAGCTGGT